TTTAAAGACGCCTTGACCCATTTTAAACTGATCTGGAAGCAGTCAAACTGCCCGAAATCAGCTGGCCCCTGTCACTTTAGCTGTGAAACGTGATCATCCAGCAGGGCAGGCCATGAGCTCTGCTGGCAGAAGGCCTCGCACAGTGGTCTGCTTGACTGTGCTTGCATTGTATGTGTGCTAGGGTTGATCTATGTGTTTTCAAAAGGCCCAGATGCTAATGGAAGGTAAGCTACCTATCCAGCCTACAGTCCATGCCTGAGGGACCTCTGAGGAAGAGAGCAGCTGGGAGCAATTATACAAATTGGCATCCAGGGTTGGATTTGGCCTACAGGCTGCAGATCTGGGCATCCTTGGTTTAGGGTGTGTTCAATGCCTGAACAAACCACATCTAAAGCCAACTTGACTCCATTTTCCTTGGCTCAGAGAGGCCTTAAGGACCAGCTCCCACACCAGGAGGACCTAAGCTGGGCTTTTCCTGAATATCTCACTTCCCAAGTGAAAGGAGAAAATAAAATGTCCCTGGACTGATTTGCCAGGTGATCTGAAGAATATTTAATATTCTCCCCACAGTATAGTATTAGCACCACAGTCATATGTAGCAAAACTCCAAATCAGCGTTATCGCTGGCCTGTCTGCAATGTGAGTATCAGCATTTTCAGTATAACTGGGAAAAAGTCAACTTCCTGCTCTTCCTGAAAACCTCTGGTGGTGTATTCCAACCTAGCCACGCCAGTGATGATAAAGGGGTTTGAAGCATAGGGGTCAGCGGCCAGAGGATGGTGTGCACTGCTCGCTGGAGTAGCAGCTACATCCTGTGGACTGAACACAGGCGCTGAGAGCGTTCAGCTGTTGACTTCAATTTGGCACTGGCGAGAGCCCCGGTGACCTACTCTTGACTTGTGATGTTGCTGTAGGCAAATCGTTTCCCCTTTCTCTCTCCATTACCCAATTTAGAGAGCGGTTTGAGAATGCAGTCCTTCTGTGCTTTGAAGATCGAAATGGAGTAATGATTATTAGGCATTTAAGAATCCTGTTGCTAGTGTTCAGTCCAGTGGAGACTTGCCGTCAGTCTGAGAAAAGAAGTACAAAGCACTGTTTGGGTGGGTACTTAGAGAACAGTGTCAACTAGAGAGCCAATAATTGTGATTAATGCCATCTAAACAGCAACGCTTCCACTCCTAAGCTGTTTCAAAATGGAAAGAGCATAATTATCTATTTAACTAAGAAAGCTCTGATAAGAAACTGTCTGCAGAGGTGCAGGAAGCTTTGTCATAGCTGCGTGCCATCTTCTGTAACTCTTGCCTTGGACTGGCCATTTAAAATACTGTCTTGTTTCACTGTCTGGATTTGGGGCAGCAAATGGATTGCGTTCTGCAGCATGACCACTCCCACAAAGAGCATGTTATGAATTAGGACATGAACCGTTAAGCAGGTATTAGAAGGCTGTAGTCATGGGGCCATGTTCTGCCTTCAGATTCGTCTGGAGAGTTAACAGTCAGTAAGACCTACACTAGAGTGACTGATGAGAGGCTTTTTACCACTCTGGTCTTGCATCAACACACCCATTACTGAGGATCTTTTCAATGCCTGTTAAAGTCTGGTTAACTTCCGTGGATCTTAAAGTGGCTTGAACTCTCTCAGCTTCGGGTGGGTTAGTGCTGCTGTGCTTAGCTCTGCGTATTTGCACATCCAAGGCAGCCGTCTCCCTGCTGCCTACAGAGCTTCAGCTCTCATTTGGTGTCTTCCGGAGAACGCTTGTGGAAGCAGTAGATGCAGGAACTATGGATGAGATGATTGGCAATTCAAGAGATTGCATTTATCCCTGAGCTGACATAAAGAAAAAAATCTGCTAATGGAGTCAAAAGCCAGGACATCAGAAGCTGTGAATTTAGTCTAAATTCTATGTAAAATTATCCAAACAGAGCTTACAATGGATTCAAAACTAGAGCCTTTTGATTTCTAACCCCACAGCTGCTATTACTAGTGTGTGATGTGTGAACTTTCTGTCTATTAATCCCTGGAAGATGCATGGCTTTGCAGTGAGATGGGGTTTGGTGGAACGTGAATCAAACTGTCGCTGACCGTCCTCATCTTTTGTCTTCACGTTTAGACGGTAATGGCCACGTTAATTAGATGTGGACAATAAGTCTGAAAAGCCACATGAGGCAAACTGTGAAACAAAAGGCTTTGTGTTCTCAGATGATGAAGAGAACGGTTTATTGGATTGTGCATCCATGAACAAAAAGCTCAAAAAGAAGGATCATCCCCTCGAGGTACTTCCACACTGTCAAGGCTTTGTCTCCTAAAAGGTTCCTTGAATGACCAGCTGAACTCCTTGGCATAGAAACACTGTCTCTAAGCAATATACTTTTAGTCTTCCAGGGATGGGTCTTGCGATGGGTATGCTTATTTTTCCGCATGTGTGGGCTTCCTGTTCAAAGTTGGAATTCTGTGCATGTGGAGACAATAGTTACAGAGGGCTTCAGAGATGGATTTGATTTGCAAAATTTGGATCTAGCTCTAAACCATGTGCTGATGTGAAGGCATTTCACTGAGAAGATTTGTACACCGACCACTAGGTGTTTTTTCATTTCCATAGAGGAAAGTACATTCTTATCCCTGAGGCAGGATAATTGCGGTGAGAACAGCCAGTAGCCGCAGTGAGAGAGCTCATAATTCAAAGCCTAGTCCCTCTTGCTTCAGTACGCACCTTGCCAAACCCCATTGAAGTCAGGGGGAGTTTTCCCAGTGATTTCATGACTCCAGTAGGTTTTTGAATCAGGGACTGGGTTAGCAAATGCAGTTTAATTTGCTGCAAAGATACGAAAAGAGCTAAAGGAGAGTAGATTTCACATTTTGGCTTGCCAAAAGGAATTTTAGCATCATTTTGTTACGGAGGAAATACAACCTCTGTGAGAGATGCGATAGACGAAGTATCCTTCCAGATCTGGCGAGTGGTGAAAATGGAGCCACTGCTGTCAGCCCAAACATAACTCTCAGACCCGAGAGGGAGATCTCCACCATGGTAAGTGGGATTGCTCCACCCTCCCTTGGCTCTGTGTGCGAGTGTGGGAGCGGTGGGGTTCAGTGTTGTTCTAATGAGTTTTTATCCCTGCTGCTTGCAACCTCTGGGCTTACCAATGTAAAAGGAGCGTTCAAATCCTTGCATGTCCCACAGTTACACTCTTTATTTGTACCCAGCGTTGCTTTTGACAGCCTTGGCCCTGCTGTAGGGACAGGGTGTAGATGCCCTAGCAGCGACTCCACCTCTCCAAGGTTTCCTGCTCTGATGGCTGTCACCAAAAGCTGGGCTGATCTGTTGTTACCGTGAAAAGTTGGAGCCTCTGTAGCTACTCTCAGCACTATCAAGTGGCTCACAGAGAAGGCAGAGCTATTCATTCCCCGATGTAGAAGCTAATGTGCAGTTAATGGCGGCTTTGCTGTAGGGTGGCCTGGCTGCCCAGGGAGCAGCCTTCTCCCAGGCTGTGGGAGGTACCACTCCAGCAGTCAAGCTGTGTCCCAGGGCTCCTGGTTTGCAGGTGGTGACTCGGAGCCAGCAGTTACGGAGCCTGGTGGTACAGGATCGTTGACTGCCGTGCACAGGAGCTTTCTTCCTCAGCTGTTCTCCTGTTGGGCCTTTCTGGATGGAGCCATCCCACTCTGGCGCGTTGAGCTCTCTGGGGACTTGGGGTAAAAATTCAGCCTGGGAAGCGGGGTGGATCGGGATTGATCCCTTCTGTGCCAGCAACTTCGTTTGTTTATGGTCAAGCCAACTGGAGTCCAAACAAAACCTCACTGAGCTGCAGTTCCTTATTTGTGTGACTGTTTATACCTGGCTACGTCACAAGAACGTGAACAAAATACAGCATGATCTTTGATTGGAAAGTACTGTAAAACAGACATGAATAAGTTTCCATTTATGAATGGTAAGACCCTGCCATAGTCTCAAAGGTCAATAGGTTTATGCTGATAATGAAAACAAGGCTTTGGATATTTATGTAAATGAAGCAGAACAACTTACCAGGCCTTGTGGCGTTGTATGATGCTATGACAGGCATCTCCATTCAGAATTGATGCTGCTTTCTAATATCCTGTAAGCACTTTTTCTGAGAATCCCTCAAGAGACAGTGCCGTGCCAAAGCTCCTCTGAGAGAAGTACATGCTGCTAAGGGCTTTTCTGTTTGCTGCTCTAGCTAATATCTGTCTCTCAGTCTGTACAGTCGAGGAGTAAACCAGTTTCTTGGAGTTGGTCTGGCTTCTTCTCTTGGTCGTTCAGTGGATCTCCTTAGTAGATTGGCCTGTGAGTCATTCTGTGAATTGCCTGCCTGCTACTCAGAGGCTCCTTTTTAAAGCTCTCTGCATCAGCTAACTGCAAGGCAGAATTGCAGTGGTTCTCTTTCTAAAAAAAACTCACATGAGTGCCTGGCCTTTCTGCCAGGTGAGGAAGCTGCGCTGGCCATTTGGTGGGCGCTCGCAGGCGTCGTTGGGTTCTAGGTGATGGAGATCTTTCAAAAGAGCTCTGCCTTGTGAAAAGTACGGGCCCAGGATGTTCCACCTTGGGGACCCCTTCTGCTGTGTAGTAGCCCAATGAGCTGTACCCTCAGAGATGCTGGAGCTGCTCTAGACATCCCAGGGAGGGCTGGGAAACCACCAGAGTTGGCTTTCTACCACCAATTTGCTCTCTTGATCCAAGGGCTCCTGTAAAGTGCGCCAACTTGTCCTGGCTCCTTAGCCCATTGCACTATTAGCAGTCTTTAGCCCTATCTTTTACCAAGTGCCAGAGGGGCAGGTGGTGCTGGTGTAACCTGGATAAAGGCCTACAACAGTTTTCTTAAAAGGGGTAGGCCTCACTTGGTCATTTATTAATGATCTTCAGGTCTCAGGATCTGCTTCTCTCTTTCTTCACGCCTGAAACAGGATAACTAACTGCCACAGAGGTACCATAGAAAGGACAAACTTTTCCTACTACGCTAATGAAGTTTTCTCTTACTTTTCTGCAGGCACCGCCTAGGACCCTTAGACCTCGCTTCAGGAAGAAAAGTACCTCGTCCTCTGCCACTGAAACAATGTGAGTGCAACGAGCCAATAGCACCAAGATCCACAGAATGTCTCTCTTCTGCCTTAAAGAGCTACGTGTTAATAATATAGAAAACAGCAGTGGGATGGATGTGCTTTGATGTACAGCATTGTAGACATGGCCTTTCTCTCTCCTCTCTCTGTATCCTTCTGTTAAACGCTTCTACATGCATTTGTCCACAACGTGGTTAGGACAATCTGAGAGACCCCTGCAGAGTACGAGTCCTTGTTTCATTCGCAGAATATACACCCACTCACACTCCTCCTGTAAGGCTGTACATTTATAATTCTTATTTGTGTCTGCATAGCTCTAGCTCTGTGAGTGCACAGTGAAAAGAAAACTAATCAATCAATTGCTCATGATGATACATTGACAGTGTGTTTACTTATGGCTTTATCATTAATGAAGTGGATTTGCAGAAACCATGTATTTCTCTTCCCTTCCTTCCTCCTCAAGACTGTGAATGATATAACGAATGTTGAATTATTTTGGCTGTACAAAATGTCTGCGATTCATCAGCAAAAGCTGAGCTGCAGCTCCATTTCTCTTTCTGCAAATCAATCAATCACATGTATTCTGAGAAAGTCCTTGTGCTAAAAATGTAGAGACAGAACCACTCAGAGAGGATGAGGAAGAGATGCACAAGAGAAAATTAATGGTTTCAACGATGTAATGAAGGGGGGGTCTTAATTTTGATCAGCCTGAGCCAAGAGAGTATTGTGTGGAAAATGACGGAGGCTGGAAGAACTAGATTGTATTGCCTGTCGCAAACGTTCCACTGCCAGTTTTAACGTGTGAGCAAGCCAGCCTCAGTACAGCTGCAGCAACAGAATTTAGAATGACTTTAGTGACTTATTTCCCGGGGAAAAAGTGCACCTACTTTTCTCCCCGGCATGTAACAATGTCAGCTCCAGTGTTCTGCTTTCCTGGTGCGGTGCTGGAATTTTCCTTACACGAGCAGAGCGGGGCACCGGGTATGAGCTTCCTTTTGAGGCCTGGAGTTTGGCCTGTAGCATGGCGTCTGGTTAGAATCACAAGAACCAGAGTGAATGGCGTACTTGTATCCGTATAGAAATGAGAAATGTAAAAGAAGAGGAAGACGTTGTAGGCTTTGTGTATTTGTGCTTCAAGTTGGTGTCTGTTGTAAGTGTTAAGCATGTGAAATCCACACATAAGTTAATTACGTGGCTCTTTGTGTTTGCTCTCGGACCTATCTCATAGACTAGACAAACATTTAGCTTTATGTAGAAGTGCCATCACTAATGGATCAATACTCAGACTTGATTAGGAACAGTACTGTTAATCTCGTGCAGGTGCAGCAGTCCAGGATGCCAGTAGCCGGTTGGAGTGTATCAGGCTCAGAAATAAATCTGAAGTGGCCTTTAAAAACTTTTCTCTGCTGGATATGCATCCATGTCCCAGCTGTCCCTTTCCAATGCATCCTTGAGGTTTTCCCCAGAGCTCCCTAAGTATACGAAATAAACTATGCGCACACACAAATGTTTATCCGACCTGGCTAGGAAGTGGAAAAACCAAGCAGGTATTTCCTGTGTCTGACACAATATTTGGCCCCATTACCTGAGAATTTTATTTCTTTTACATGTGTTAACTCAACCATGGATAAGGATAAGAAATGGATAAGAAGGAAAAAGTTTTCAGAAGGTAAACTAAAACCAAAATCTGTCTAAGTAGCAGTTATGAAAGTCAGTCCTTAGAAGATACACAGCAAAAGCTTTGAGGAGCTAACCTTGGGTGTTTTATTTTTAAGCAGCTTTAGAGTTATTTGATTTCTTTTGGTGAACATTAAAAAGAAAAACTGCTTGCAGCATTAGCAGAAAATAAAATCCTGTTGCAAGCAAGCTACGTGTCCCTGCTATGCAATAGGCTGCCGCAAGATAAGAAAGAAGCTGACAAGTTTGCACTCAATTATGCCAAAAAAATAAAATCATAGAGCTACGTAACAACGGACAGATTCTATTCTCAGACACGCTGTATTAACCCTGATTCTCACTAAAATTATTAAATGTGTCTAATCTGCTGTTTTACTGTAAACTTGACTGTTTAGATTCTCTTAAGTGCTGAGGTGAAATTGTTGACAAGGGAGTTGCCTTATATCTCTCAAAACGTTCACTGTATAAATGAGGAAAAAAAAGTCTTTTCATATTTCTGGCAAAAATGTGTTAATTTATCAACTGAGTTGTATATTTGTGTATAGATAAGACAGGAAATGTGACTGCCTAAACACGTACGCTTAGTGCTGTAGTGTTGTGTACACAGACTAGAGCGGTCATTCGCTTTTAATTCTTCATATTCCACACACAGGTTGTTTACAGGTGTTGCCCCAAGTTTGTCATTTTACTCCTTGGCTATTGCATTTATTTCGAATAAACACCAGACATGAAGTTTTTTGTTCCAGTTTTTCTCTTTAGTCTCTGTCAAGGAACAAGCCTGCTTCAGCGGGTCCTGTTCCTACTCTGCTGCTGACCCCTCGTGGCAAGCCAGAGTGCGCAAAACTCGATCAGAGGATTCACCCGTGGCCGGATCCTTAGGCGTGTATTCACGGGAAAGCAATGCTTCGCTTCCTCCCACCTCAGGCTGTGAGGGTCAGCGCTGCAGCTGACAACTTGCAGATTACTCACTCCTCAAAGCAAGCTGATGGCTTAAAGTAACTACGGATCTGGGATTCCCGGGGTTAAGTAAGAAAAGCCTGTTTATAGAGGCCGTCAGGGGAGCTGGCCTCTACAGTCATTCCTGCAGAGAAGGCACCATCTCCTGGCTTCTCAGCAGATGGCCTGGAACACATAACCCTAAGAGGAATCGGTCAGCCCTAGAAAATATAACCTTAAATCAGGACAAGGGTGGTCTCACATGAAACGTGCGTTATTGCAAGCAAGTGAAATTGAGGCTCGGAAGGTAAGGAAAGCGCAGCTGAAGACGTTCTATGGTAAACGGGCCTGTAACTTCCCTTACCTCAGTTATGAACAGAATAAACTTAGAGCAGCGATGCAATCCTCTTGGGGCCAGCGTCAGTGCGGTTGCAGTGGTTGCCAACTGCTGAATCAGGATCATACCAAATTCAGACAAAAAAGACTTCATGTCTAATCACTGTAACCTTGGAATAATCCCACATCAATTTAGATTGTTTAAACTCAGCACAGAAGGAAAGGAAAATCAGGTTATTTGTTCCTAATGAGAGAGGAGAAAGCTGCTCGGAGAGATACAATGCTCCTCAGCCTCATGTAAACAACCTGCTGCCTCTGACTGCTCTCTGAAACAAGTGTTCTCCTGTAGTAACGAAATCGATATGTACTTGTGTCCGAATGCTTGTTAATCACAGTCTCCTTTTTGCTGTTTGTTTTGGGTACCAGTTTTGCATCTAAGCACCATAATTGAAGTAGCAGAGAACACTATGTTGGGATTTGCATTTATACAAACTATTTAAGGATCATAAACGTGCACTTCATGTGATTTCTTTCCTGTGATCAGTACAAGAGATCTGTGATGAAATAGTTCACTTAACGCCTCACAAGGATGGACCTTACAACAGTATTCCAAAGGTTGGTGTTTTGCTGGTCTTGTTATACTGCTTGATATACATCTTGAATAAAGTCTTAATCTTTTCTTTTAAAAAAATAAAGAAGAAAACATCTTTATTCTGTTCAATGTATCTGGCAGGCCAGAATAATTCCTTTTATTGCTGTATTATTTTTATCTCAGTTCTGGCTAACTGTATATAGATGTATTCACTAAGTGCTGCATGTCCTTCAGAATTTTTCTCTGTATTATGAACTGGAAAAAAATACAGCTACTGAACGCTCCGAGTAATCAGTGAATTCATTGAAATGCTACGGCCTTGACCGGCAAACCATCTCTTGTCAAGCAGGTGGCTCTGGAGCTGATAACCAGAGACTACCTATCTGCTTAAAGTTGCTAGGGAAGGAATATTCTGAAAGTGCGGCTAGAAGCAACTGCTTTTCACTCACTTGCTAGAGCATCAACTCTTGGAGAGAAAGCCCATGATCTAGCCCTTAACAAAACCAGAAACTAGTTGTATCTCACGTTGCAAAAGGACCCTGTAATAAATCCTTGGTCTTGTTCCATATACATATATACGATCAGAGATACACAATGTGCAGTATAACGTATAATCCTGCTTAAAGAATAAGTAAGAAAATATTCAGAACTGACTGCATGAGGATGTTGAGTAGGACCCAAAGAATCTATGCTACTATTCAAAAACAGGAAGTTATAAACTTTGAGTCCTGTAATGAAGTTAAATTTGGCCAATACATTTTTTTTTTTTTAAATCAGTTATCAAAACTGCATGTAACCACGGACCGACTGTTTTTCTGTGCTCCCCAACAGGGAGATGTGGCAGCAGTCTATCCAGTACTGTAACAGGCAGCAATGCCCAAATGGGACCCTCCTCTCCTTTCTGCCTTTCCCCAAGAAAGCTCCCTTCAGTGAGCTACCAGCAAGTGTGGACGTAGCAAAAAAAAAAATATCCTGCAGTTACCTAAACACGTTTCTTTAGAAATGTCTTTTAGTGATGTTTAGACTGTGTTCATCCACATACACGTTACACATTGTCACAAGAACTTCAACCAGGAGACTTCAGACCTGTAGGTGACCTGACCTCTGCTAGGTAAAATACAAGTTATTGCTCAAAACAGTCTTGAACATTCCTTTATTTTGGCCATTGATACTCATAATTTTGACCAGATGAAATAGGCATATTTATTCGTAAAATTAACAGGCATTACAGATTTATCTTTGGAAATAGATAATGGAGACATACCCCATCTAACATCACCTGTTTTCTAGAGAGAGGCAAAAACGGAACAAAAGATTACTACAGACGAAGATTTGTGCGATCATGATACTTCTGGTAGGGATCATCAACGTACCAATTTCTTCTCCTCCAGAAAGAAGTGGTCATTTTATCTAAGAGTTTACATTGTGTTCTGTTGCACAACACCAGTTCTCTCAAGCGCTTTTTCTGGGCAGCTGACTTTTTCCACAGTTTTTTCTTGTAGCCAGCCTGTCGGAAGACAATACATGAAAGAATTTTAGGGCAGATTGCTGAATATACACATACAGTAATACTGATAATCAAACCAGAACAAGCGCTTCTGCTTTCAGGAAGTCAAGTATAGAGAGACTCTTTTTTTTTTTTTTTCCCCTTTAAAAAACTTCCATACTAGCTACTTCCTTCTAACAGAAAGGAGGACAATTAGCCCACTGTCTGCAAAGCACAAGCACTTTACAAGAAATGTAAAGAATATTAAAAAAAAAAAAAAAGGAAAGTCTTACCTTTCTCCTCACCCAAAGACCATTGTGCAGTCGGAGAAACCTATCAACCACAGCTTTCACAGTTTTCCTCTTTCCTTTCTTTAAGCTACAATATGTGAGAGCCCTCACTGGCTGAGGAAGTATACTTGGCAGTAGAAATGTGACACTAAAGGGAAAAAGAAAGAGGGAGCAATAAAACAGGAATAAAATATCTTTTCCCTAAAATTGACCACTGGATTTTTCACATAATGAGAAATTAGAAGCATCTCTGACTTGTGTGAAGAAGTTTCAGAAGAGCTGATCTAACATTAGAATACACCATTTAATGAATGTGTACACATTAACAGTCAAACTGCACTATACGTTTGAGAAATTCATGACCAGGAGAGACAATGACTGGAACAACAAGCCTAATTGTAAAGCACAGTATATGTCTGCAAAGCATATAACACTTTACCTACTTTTTCAAGCGTTACGCTTTACAAAAAAAAGGGGAAGACTTAGAGCTAAAACATAGCCTTGTCTGCTACAGTAAAAAGCAGCACAAGAAGTCTTTCAGACAAGAAAGAAGAAACTGCTCCTTGCCTCAGCATCACAGAGGCGATGAAGCCCGCTCAACATTTAGATTTTAATTTAATAGTTTTCCTCGTGACCTTGCCCACACGAACACCTCACTTCTGGCTTCCTGTTGCCGGTTTGGGCAGACCGTACCTGCTGAGCAGGGAGCGGGGCCCCGCGCACGGCGGCCCGCCAGACGCCTTCACAGGAGCCGTTG